ATTAATCTTGTCAATAAATTAATATCTTCCGAAAAAGGGTAATGATATAAAAATCTTGGCGAGAAAGGAAGGTGCACAATCAAATCCGTCAAGAATGGAAAACTGCTGAATCGTATGCCCAAGCTGAAGGAAGGATCAAAACTTCCAAAGCCGTTGAGGAATTCGCCAAAGCCAAAGGAAGGTCTTCAAAGTTCCTCTCAAAGCTTCAAGGTGTTCATCGCGTTCTTCACCAAAGCATCAAATCGGTCCTCTTCAATCCAAAAGTCAAATTGACACATCACAAAAAATGTTACGAGCACCAAATCCACCTCTAATCAAAGCTCAAAAAACCGTTGAAGAATCCATCAAAGCCAAGGAAAAGTATCCAAAGTTTATCCAAAAGCTTAGAGGTGTTTATCACGTTCTTCACTAAAGCATCAACTGAGCCCTCTTTGATCCAAAAGTCAAAGGGACACGCCACCAAAAGTATTATGGAGCACCAAATCCACCTCTTCGATGATCAAAACTCCAAAAGCCGTTGAAGAATCCATCAAAACCAATGAAGAACATCCAAAGTTCCTCTCAAAGTTTCAAGATGTTCATCGCATTCTTCAACAAAAGCATCAACTAGACTCTCTTCGATCCAAAAATCAAAGGGACACGTCGCCAAAAGTGTTATGGAGCACCAAATCCACTTTCTCAAAGATCAAAGCCTCGGATCGTCCAAAGAAGACATCAATCAAAGCTAACGATCAAATCGCTCGCACGGAGACCAAAGTTCTCCAAAAGCGGCAAAACTAAAGCAAAAATCAAAGTCTCAGATCGTCTAAAGAAGACATCAAATTCAAAGCCGACGATTAAATCGCCTACACGGAGATCAAAGCTTTTCAAAAGGCGGAAAAGTCAAACAAAAAATCAACGCTGTAGATCGTCCAAAGAAGACATTAAAACCAAAGTCGAGGATCGAATCGCCCAAACGGAGATTGAAGCTCTCCAAAATTTGGAAAAGACAAACCAAAGATCAAAGTCGCAGATCGTCCAAAGAAAACATCAAATCCAAAGCCGATGATCAAATCGTCCACACGGAGACCAAAACTCTCCAAAAGGTAGTAAAGCCAAATTAAAGATCAAAGCCGTGGATCGTTCAAAGAAGATATCAAATAAAAAACCGATGATCAAATCGCCCATACGGAGACCAAAGTCCTCCAAAAGGCGGTAAAGCCAAATCAAAGATCAAAGTCTTAGATTGTCTAAAGAAGACATCAAATCCAAAACCGATGTTTAAATCGCCAATACGGGGACCAAAGCTCTCCAAAATGCGGGAAAGCCAAATCAATTATCAAAGCCGTAGATCGACATCAAATCCAAAATCGAGGATCAAATCGCCTGCACGGAGACCAAAGTCCTCCAAAGTCCGGCAAAATCAAACGGAAGACCAAATTTCTTCGGATCAAAGAAGTCATAAAAAACTAAATTGAAAAACAAATCGACCCATATGGAGAATCAAATGATCATTCAGAGAATATGACCCGCTTTAAATCCAAATCAAATATAATTTGTGTTTATTAAAAATAATATTATTTTTTGTCTACAATATCAAAATATAATACTAATAAAAAATATTTGTATAAAAAATTATATAAATATAAAAATATTTTTAATATTAAATAAAATGATAAAAACATATATATATTTTTTTAATATTAAATTATATACTACTAAAAGAATATTATTTTTTATAATAAATGGACTGAAACGGATGAGAGTATTAAAAGTGTTGTTAAAAACAAAGAAAATATACGTCCAGATTTCGACGTCTGCGCAAACGGCGCCGCCGATAAAGGAGCTGCTGCCGTACTATAAATGGGCCGGGCCGGGCTGCCTGTCAATGCAGGTTTTGTCTGCTCCCTATCTATTACTACTATCTAAGCTATGCCCCTATTATTATATGCTGACCCACCCTTCACCATGATCCATGAATATTAATTACTCCTTTTGTACAGTGTTTACTTACTATAGATGCCAAAATTTAAGAATATTATAATTTTTAAATAATTAAAAATGTAATAATAAAAATAATTATAATATATTAATTTTTTAAGAATATAATATTATATTTATTATTAAAAATAAAATTAGTAAAAAATTAATTGAACAAACAAAATCCATAATGTTTTAAATAAATATAAAGTAAATGAACACATACTTGAATTCTTGGGCTTGTGTTTCGACCAATCCAAAAAACTCAATATGGTATGATTTATAATCCCAAAATTTCACCATAGCTGAACAAAATGTAACTATTTGAACTATCAGTTGGGTTAAGTCTATATTAAATGATCTATCAAATTTATTGGGCTTAAATGTATTTAGTAAATGCGGATTTCCTGTGTGCATAAACCCGGTAATTTATTAATTTGGTGATGATGCCAATTAATAATTATGGATATACATTAGGGTTGTGATCCAGGTTAGACGCAAAATCGATTACTTTTCATATCTCATCCCGGTAGTAACGGCAGAAACCGCTTCCTAGCGGTTTTTTCAAGAGGTGTCGCGCTATATGCTTGAAGAACACAAAACTCTCAATTATTTGCAGATCCTAATCCAACAAAGCTAATGGAATCAGGTCAGATTTATTTGTTTTATTTTTTTATATCTCAATTGTTTCAACACGACAGTTCTTGTACTTAGGTTTAATTCTTTATAAGTTTCAACACCACGCGATAAGATTTATTGAGTGCTTTCATTCTCGAACTTTATTCTTCTCCCTCGGTGGTCGATAGATAAGTTGGATTTGGATGTGGGAATGAAAAATCAGTCGCTTGTGCCGATTCTTTGTGTTATTTCTTACTTGCTCGCCGGAGTTATGCCGGTTTTTTCTCATCTTTAAACTTTATATTTCTTTTGTCCATTTGTGAAATTACAGATTTCTTGGTGACAAAACCTTCGATTTTGATTATTGCTTATTTATTTTATTACATTAACAATTAACCTACTAATTTTCTTCGTATGAATTATAATGTTTGGTTGCAATAACAACCCGATTTTAGGAGAAACAAATTCCCAAAACGAATAATATACGGAATATATATATATATATATTTGGCATCAAAATTATTATGGGCATGACTAGGCTGCTATTCGGTCAAGTCAGCCTCTGCTATAGGGATGATTAATATATATTTATACATAATCATATATTTATAATACAATATATATAATATTATAATTTAGTATATATTATCTTATAACACAATATAATATATGTATAAATATATATTGATCATCTTGTAACATATATATAATTCGGTCATATCACAACCAATTTTTATTGATATATATATATATAAGTGAAAATATAAGAGTGACTGCATTAATGGGTTTCTCCATGTCAGTTTTTTTTTTCAATTAAAAAATAAAAGCAAAAATGTTGAGAAACTAGCAACAATTCATTTTATTTTTTAAAGAATATTTTATTTTATAGTTGTATTTTTATATTTTTGTATTTTATATAAGATTATATTTTCCATAAAATAATATATACAAATATATTTTTATTTAAATTTTATTTTAAAAATAAATTAGATTGATATAAATATAAATATATATATATATATATTTTTATTGAGGTGAAGGAAAAACAAAGTTATTTGAAGAAAAAAAATGATATGGAGCTGCAAAGAATCTTTTCTTTTTTTTTTTTTTTTTAATGGATGGTCTACAAATGTAAGTTTGTTGGGCCAAAATGCACAGTCAGCAGCCCAATCCTGAAATTGGGCTGTAATTAATTGACAAATTCGGCCCACTATTATATCAATGTAGAAAACATAATACTCATTTTTCCCACTATATTTATGCCATTTGATTGGATATGAATTTTAAGAAAAATGTTGAATTTTTTTATAATAAAAAATAGTATTTTCTCCGTCACAATTAAATGTACTTTCTTTTTTATTTACTTTTTTCTGTTTTACTTCGAAATATTTATTTTATATTTTAGTAAAAATAATCATACATTAATAATATTAGATTTTACTTGAATTAAAAATATTTCACTTACACATACGACTACGGATAAAAATATCAAAATATTTTTTATGACAATAAAAAGAAAGAAATCATAAAATTAGATGCGATAAGAAATAGGAGTAATAAATAATACAAACAAAAGTGGAGTTATGCCAATAAGAAAAATATTTATATATATTGCTATATTTATTTTACCCTTTTGGATTTTGTGCAATTAATTTATTCATTTCTTAATTTTGTAAATATATTAGTCTCTACATATTAGTAAAACATCTTTACGTTTTATAAAAAAATAAAACTATACAATTTTTTTTTAATCATAGTTTCGAAGATATTTTAATTACTGCATTCTAAAATTATACTCCCTTCGTCTCAATAGAATTGTCCTTTTTTTTTTTATTTCTGTCCGTCCCAAAATAATTGTATTGTTTTCTTATTTAGTAATTGTGGTCTCAACTTTATAACAAAATTATTCTTAGTTTTCCAAACTACCCTTAATTATTACTCTAATATACTTACTCTAATATACTTTTTAAAATCATTAAAAAGGTAAAGGACGGAGAGAGTATGTAATATTACTAGGAGAGAGTATGTAATATTAGTAGTATCTTCTATAATCAACATAGAAAGTAATAATTCTCAAGCTCAAACTCAACGTGTCTATTTCTATAAATCAATCGAGTCAAATTGTTATCAAGTCAGATTGAATTTATCTCACGAGTACTCCGTCCCATAAGACGGGTTTCATTTTCTATTTTAGTATGTTCGAAAAATAAGAGTATCATTTTATAATTTAGTAATTGTACTACTTATTTAACATAATAAATATCCTTCTAATTTACAATATATTACACAAACGCCAACCACCTTTATATTACTATTATTTTTGTTTTTTTTACCACAATCCAATATAATACTAATATTAAAAAATTTACGTGAAAAAACACAAATATTACTCTCTATACGGGACAGAAAGAGTATGAAAATTGATAAATTTATTAATAATTTCAAACAAGACATCATTTTATATACACAAACAAGACAGAATTCATACGTCAAAGACTCAAAAGCATATAAGATGTTATACATTACAAATGACCTTGTTTTAAAATGCGACATATCATTAATTATGCAATAAAATATCGATCAAAACCAAAACCTAGCTCGGCTACATCTATCGAGCTTTCAATAAAAACCAACCACAATAACACGCCCCAAAGCCGGGTTAACGTTGCAAGATTCCTCGTACATCATTTCTAACTATATGTCGACACAAATGTCCATATCGTCATCCCAAACACTAACCATCCGAGGTCAAATCCCGAGCTCATCACGGCACCTATTACATGCAAGAAATAAATAAACAACATATTCTATGTAATAGACCTTAAGGACAATGTAATAACCTCACCATCACTATTAGTCTCATCGGCTACACTATCTCCGCTGGGATCACTATTGCTTGAGTTCGCGCCTCTGGTGAAATTAAGTCCGAGCCTTGCGCAATCAAGTCCCACCGAACCTAAAATCATCGAACATTTTTACATTATGGAGTAAACCTCTATCAACATCATTAAATACTCCCTTCGTCTCAGTCAAATGTATACATTTGTTTTATTGTAATAAATTTAAAAATAATAGTATTTTATTACTAAATAAAATATATAAAAATACTTTGACAAATTTACTTTTGTACTTTATGTTTAAGACAATAGTACTTATAATAATATGTTTTTAACTTATATAAAAGTTAAAAATTATTTTGATCCTACTATGAAAATACTATAAAAGCAAAAGTATCTAATTAGCCAAAATATTTTTAACTACAAAATATTTTTGTAGTTAAAATGGATCATTTAGTCATAAATTAATTTCATCGCTAAAAATAAACTATGTACTACAAAATTAATTTCGTCGTTAAAGTTTTTTTGCTATAAAATTCTATCTTGATAGCAAAAAGATTTTAGCTACATTTGACTAAAAAAATCATACATATTTTTATTGCTAAAACTCTTTTGTTAAAAATTTTAATTTTATGACAAAAGAGTTTTAGCTAGGATATCATATTTTTATAGTTATATCTCTTTTCTTAATTTTTATCGTAAAAAATTTATTTTTGTTACGAAATTCATATTTGTCGCCAAAGATATTTACTAATGTAGTAAATGTGACAATGACTTTCATCTCAAAAATATTTTTGCTATGAATTATTATCTTTTGCTAAATTTTTTTTTTTTTTGTAGTTAAACTTTCTTATAGTAAAATATTTTTACTGTAATAATATATATATATATATATTTGGATAGATCAAACAAAAATAACACACAAAAATACATACTCTGCAACAAAGAGAATATACATATATATATATATAGGCTTACAATCTTTGTAGCAAGGGAAGGCCGAGGAATTGAACAAATTGTGGTAGCCCTCGTCGCAAAGACAATCGTGCGTAAATGGAGATGTCGCGTTGCATGAGCCTCCACCTCCACAGTGTGCCCAAAAACATGCTGTAAGAATATATTGTCCAACATGTAAGGAAATAGAATTGTATGATCATTGGAAACTTGTAAATCTACCCATGTTATTTACGCACGGTCAAAAATATGGAAGTCGGGCTTTTTTCGACTGGCCGGAGTCGGAGCTGGAGCTGCATCATCACTACAGGTGTAGTTGAATGTGCCTTAGACATGAAGAGTCGATGTGTTAGAATCATTACAAAGAAAATTATGATTTTTAGATCTGATTTTAATCTCACACAAATTATTATTTTTTCTTCCTAAAAGATAAAAAATAAAAATAATTTCATTTAAAATATCACATTGAACATTTTTCCTGCACTAAGTACTCCTACGTTTTTGGTAATTTTTCAAAAATAAATAAATATGTAGTATATTCTTTTACCAGCTATCATATTACTATTTTTTACGATTCTCAAATTTTTTAAAATATTTAAAAAAATTTTATTTCAACAAAATTCTATTTATACCAAATTATTTGTTTGAAAGATTATGGGGAAGATTTACTATTCATATAACTTTTTTAAAAAATAATATTAAATCAAATATTTAATTTTTATTTTTTTATTACTATTTATTATTCAAATCGTAACTCAAAATCCAAATCTTCGAACAAACACACCCTTGATATATCAATATATCAATTTATTATACTAAAGCTTAGGGTTTATATAATCACAGCAACAAGCACACCATTAACAATCTTCTAGTTCTCTCACACTAAAGCTCAATACGTATATACATACACAAACATATATACATATATATATATATAGAGAGAGAGAGAGAGGGAACTGACAATTGGGGACGACGCAGGGGAGGAATGCGAAGAACTGCTCGTGACCAGCACGTGCCTGCCTCCATCCATCTTCACATTCGCAAATAAACCCAAAGCTACTGTTGTCTGATTTCAAGCACTTTCCCTTCCCACAAACACTGCTATTCTCTTCGCAACCATTTCCTGCCAATTTCCACAATTTCAAAATCAATAAAATTAATTAAATAAATAAAAATCACGCACACACACTGTCTGTTACAGACAACAAAGATCAAATCGAATCGAACCGAAGATAGGATGAATAAAAGGATCGAAGAAGTTCGCAGAAGCCGACCAAAACCACACCGCAACTGTAACTGCAAGAACCGCACCGCACCGAACCGCACCCATCTTCAGGCAGAGTGTTTCTTAGAAAATGTAATAAAAATAAATAAATAAATAAATAAAAACTGGGACACGCATTTTTTAACGTTGAAACTGTAAACGGAGTTATGGGAGCCGTTGGCAGTTGGGAGAGTAAGAGAATGTGGACAGTCCTCAGCCAACCGTAAGGCGCCACGTGTATGATAGTGGCCTTTCCGTAATTTGATGGTAGATTTTGGAAATCTTGATTTATTTATTAACACGCAAGTTATTAATTGCATATTCAGATTCGATTAGATTATAGATTAGATAAGTGTTGTTTTTTTTGTTCAATATTTAGGTTGTCCCTCTTTATGGGCTATTGTATTTAATTTATTCTTAGGCAGCACTAATTTAATTTAATTTAATTTTTAAGTACGTGTTTTGTCGTTTTCATCTATTTAAATACAAAATTATATTTTTATTTTTATTAAATTTCACCATACTATTTATTATAAATAGCTTTATTTATTTACATCAATACTGTCGAATGTAGAATGATAGTCTCACTAAAAATTCGAACTATTAGAAAACGTGCTCCTTAATCATATATCTATAAATAAAAGTCTCCAACAAATACTTTTTTATCAAATTAATATATATATATAATTACACATAATATCAACCTTCATTTAATATTATTATTTTGAGATATTTTAAGGTGTGCTATTTTGTAATTTTTATTTTTATTTTCCAAAATTTTTAGTACTATTTAATTTTAAAAACGTCTTTAAAATTATACTAGTATCTTTTATTCTTTTTATAGAGTAAACATTTACTTTTAGCGCATGGATAGTTAAAAGTAGTATAATATATTTTTGTGTAAAAGTAATATGTGATGTAAACTAATAATATTTGTAAAAAAAATAAAATATTTAATAAAATATTTACTTTATAATTGGACATTTTAAAATATAAATATGTTACTTTTTAAGCGGACGGAGGGAGTATAAGATATCACATTCATACTAGTATTATTCAAATAGAGATTTAAAAAATCACAAACCAAAAAGAGTATTTGTAATGTTTTTATTTACATATAATTTTCTTTTATCTTTCATCATTCAAATACAAATTATAAGAATATATTTAAAAAAAATGTATGAAACTGTGAAAAAAAGTAAATTATATAACACCTAGTTTATTTTAGTAAAAATATATAAAAGACTTCGTATTTGATTTATGCGTGAAATTCTTTTGTTTTAAATTAAGATTTGAACAAAATACGTTTTTCAAAGTTGATGTTTAATTGTAAAGACCTATTTATTTTATTCAAGAAACATAAATTCTTACCATAATTATTTTATTTGTATAAAACTTATATAATTAAATACATATTGACAATCAATCATGAATTTTTTGAACGAAAAATATATTTTATATATATTTTAATTTAACATAAAAATATTTTATATAATAAATAAAATAAGATGTACTTTATATATTTTTATAAAAATACAAGATATTGTTACTATATAATTAAAAAAAAAAAAAAAAAAGAAGAAAAAGATGATCATCTATATGTACTTTTAAGAATAGTGAGCCAAAAATAAAAAAGTACGAAGGTATTATTAATAATAATATAGGCCTTTTAATTATTTCTCGTCTATGTCAATTAATTCCTAAACCCTACATTCATTTACTTTTTATTTATTTATTTATACTACTTTGGGTTGAAAATAATACATTTTTTTTTTTTTTAAGTAGAAAAATATTTAATTTTAAGTATGAAATACAAAAAGTCTCCATATATTATAAATTATAAATAGTAAAATTTTGAATTAAAATAGCTGTGTATGATGTGATGATATAAATATGTATTGCTGAAGTTTTAAATGTAAAATTAAATATTAGTCTAATATAATAAATAAAAAAAATAAATATTGAATTTGATGTTTTTTTTTTTTTTAAAAAAAAAAAAGAAGTTGAAATAATAAAATCAGGTAGAAAGTTGTACAAGTAAACACACTCTAAAAAGTTTGTTTTTGGTTTTCATATTTAAAATTGAATATATTTATGATTTATTTGTTTAAATCTTATTGTAAGGATTTAAAAATATTTTTTAATTTTTTTAGAATATCTATAAACATAAATTGGGCCTCTACTACAATTGGTTATTACATGCACTTGGATGGATTTTAAAAGCCCAATTATTATGATTTAAAATTAAAGATGATCTTTCCCCTTAAATTTTCATTTGAACTTAATCTTGTTCCTAAATTCAACTATTTAAAATTCTATAAAATTTTGTTCAATTGGTGTGTTATTTGATCAAATTTTAAATTATTTTTACTATTTGCCATATTTTTCATTCCAAAAATATCAAAATAAATGTTTCTATTTTGGGACGTCTAATTACAAAGTAAATATTTCATTAAATACCTATTTTTTTTTTTCACAAATACCCTTACTTTACATCACATCATTACTTTTATACCAAAAAGTAAGGGCAAAAATGACATTACACTACTTTCAACTACCCACTATAATTAAAATACTATTATTCTTTAAACACCGCGCCAAAAGTAAATATATACTTTGTGTGTGGACGGAGAGAGTACTAAAAAATTAATTTTATATTCAAAACATCACATCAATATCTATTTATATTATATCATACAAAATTTTTACCGGTCAAATTTCAAACCCAAAATCCAAAACCCCAAACAAAGACAAGGGTAATTCAGATGTGTTCCCTCTGCTTAATAACATAAAAGAATTAATAAGTTGAATTTTATTATTCTCTTCGTCCCATAAACAAGTATCTGTTTACTTCTTGCAAGTAGTTTAAAGTATATTAATATTATATTCATATGTAGTAAGAATAAACTATAAATGACTAAAATAATCTATTAGTATTATTTGATATAAAAATTCTTTTATTATTGAATAGTTTCTAGTGTCTATTCACTTTGTATTTTTAAATGTATGTATTTTTTTATTTATACATGTAGAATCGTGTAAGTAATATATAAAATAATATTTTATGTTGAATTATTAATTTTTTTTTAATTTATTAAAATATACTAACTATGTCGGTTTCATTGACTTTTTACGTATTGATCTTTGCATATTAGTTATTATATCAAAACGTAGTACACATTAAGAAAAATTTGTAAAAATACTTCTATTAGTATCTTATAATACTAATAGAAGGATATTTGTACAAAAAGTTATACAAATATAAAAATATTTTTAATGTTAAGTACAATGACACAAAAGATAAATGTGATCCTGAGAGCCGAATTAAAAATATATATATTATAATGCTCTCACTTGAAAGAGTGAAATTTCAATATATATATATTGTATTTTTCAATAATATGGCCCATTAAAATTATTTAGGTTATGATGATTTGGGTGAATTAGAGTTGAAGATAATAATTATTAATATCAATATAAAATGCACACTAATAATCTCATAATGGTCAGTTTTTTTTTTTTTTTTAATATATTTTTATGACGTAGGAACTCGCAGTTGCTATTCGAAAGTGCGTAGGTAAACCCCGGCCGAACCTCATAATTGTCAGCTTTTGTTTAGTTGTTTTATAGTCAAACATTTACATTTGGACATGTTATTGTTGTTATTAAATCTCTCTACACGTAACAATGCAAATTATCCATGTGCTCTTGACACCAAAATTAGAGACATAAAATAAAATAAATAAAATAAGAGACATACAATATATATTTATATATACTATGGGTTTGTGCATGGAGGGGTCAGTCATGATAGACAAATTAAGAAAAATAGGCTCCTTTCACGCAATGTTTTTAGATGAATTGATTTTTAGTATGTGATATGAAAAATTGTGTTAAAAGTATAAAATATACTTCATTCGTTCTATATATAATGATTATACACTTTAATCTCATTTTAAAATTTTTAATTTATTTATTTATTAATTTTAATTAAAGTAATTAATTATTTTAATATTAATTTATAATTATTTATATTATAAGATAATTATTTTCACCAATATATTTTTAATTATCTACTAATTATACTTATCTTAAATTCTCGTATCTACCGTGACCCAGACATGCAACGTGGGATTGAGGGAGTATTATTTTAAATTAAATATTTGACTTTTTGTAATGAGTATTTAAAGTTTTTTTTTTTTACTTTTTAACTTTTGTAAAAGGGTTTTTGTGTATGGTTTATTACTCCCTTTGTCCTAGATAAGATGTACGCATTACCGTAAATACGAGAATTTAGATAAAGTATAATTAATAAGTAATTAAGAAGTGTATTAGTAAAAATAATTATTATTTAGTAAAAATAATTATAGATTAAGATTAAGATAACTGAACAGTTTAATTAAGATTAAAAAAATTAAATTTTAAATTTTAAAATATGATTAAAGTGTATAATCAATTTTTCAAAAAAAGAAATGACAAATTATATGGGACGGATGAAAATAAAAAATAGGATCAAATTATGTGGGACAGAGGGAGTATTATTTTGAGAAATTGCAATTGAAAAATAGTGTTGAAAGAACATAATAATAATATTTTAATATAAAAAAATAAAACTTATTTAGATGTATTTAAAAAAAAAATTATAAAATTTATTTAATTGATAGTGTATTTATAATATATAATGGCATTGACAAAGTTATTATTATGTGTTTAAAGTAAGTACAAAAATTTAAGTAGATGGATTATTTCTATTTGTATATGCACAAATTTTATAAATAATTTTATATTAATATTAAAATATTATTTTATTTTTATATAAATTATAAATATATCAGTATATATACAATTAATTTATACATATTCATCGTTAACGTGAGTATACGAATATATGATGGAAAGGTAAAGCATAGCAATGCATGTGACATGTATTGTAACAAACAACATGCAATTGAGTGCATTCATAGTGGCATACAATATATAAATAAATAAATTATTTAATAAATTAATAGTGACAAATTACACACACATACATACATTCATATACATCCCATATATACATACACGTAGTATTCATATATATATATATATATACTTATTATTTGGGTAAA